GATTATGTAGACCAAACTAATATTTCTCTTTCAATTGTTATTAAATTAACAGCTTATAAACTCCTTATACTTTCTCTTCTTTCTACCTTACATGACCATTTGGAGTAATAGCTCTAGGAAAAAAAATGCTAAAAATGCATGACCATTGAGTGTTAATAGTTGTATATGAGTGATTGATAATCATAGAAAAACTAAAATTTGAATTAATCTAAAAGATAACATAAAGAATTATGATGATGAAACTATATGCCCTAGGTTTTTCTTGACTAGTTTATTGTCAAAGGTTGCACTATTTTTAATTCTACTTTAATAACTTTCATATTTGAATTCTTGTTTTATTTATTTATTTTATATCTTTTAAGTTCAAACAGTTAAATTAAGAAATTTTTAATAATTAGAAACAATCCTCGTGGGACAAAAATGCAATAATTTTTTTAGAACTTTTTATTACTTTTTGATGAGTACACTTGCTTACGAACACACATATGATAAGAACATCTAGAATATATGACCCAATCTTTCTAAATTTTATAGGTTGAAACCACTAAAATACTTGCACTCTCATAACCATATGAGACAATAGCTATGTCAGTTTTGTGGATTCTTTTTATTTCTTATTCTCTTTTTCTAGATAGTTCTTCTTGAAAAGACAAGTCTTGTGACAATTGAAACACTTATACTTTATTTTCTGACCATTCTTGGATTTTGATATGGATTTCTTCCCTTTTTGACCCTTCTTTTCACTCCTTCCTCTAGAGACATTCAAGGTTTCACCATTACCTCTTGCCTTAGAATCTTCTTATTTTTACAGTTTTTTAGTCCTTATAGAAGTTTGAACTTCTTCCAAAGTAATGTTTTGATCTTTCCCATACAAGATTGCATCCTTGAAATGCTTGAAAGATTTTGGCAGAGAATTCAGAAGTAAAAGGGCTTTATTCTCATCTTTGAGCTTCACTTCAATGTTTTTCAAATCATCAAAAATTTTGTTGAACTCAATTAATTGCTCAATGACTATTCTTGATTTTGTCATCTTGAAAGAATAAAGTAGTTGCTTCAGACACAACCGATTTGCTAGGGACTTTGTCATGTACAAAGATTTCAATTTCAACCACATTGAAGTTGCTAAATTTTCCCTTGCAATCTCCCTTAGTACTTTATCTCCAAGATGCAAAATTATAGTACTCCTTGCTTTAACAATCATTCCTGATTTCTCCTTTTGACTCAAAGAATTCAACATATTCGCCTCTCCCTTAATTGCTTCTACACAACCTTGTTGTACCAAGATTGCTTCCATCTTTGATCCTTCATAACCCAAAGTCATTGTCATTGAAAACTTCTCAATATCGTATTTAGTAACTTTCACCTTGATCTTACTTCCCACAATTGATGCCACTTTCCTTTCAGAAAACTTATTATAACCTAACATAATGGAAACAAAACAAAAGAAAACACATACATAAGCCTAACTAGAAAAATACAAAAATAACGTGGTTCAGTTATTTGTTCTTTAAGTAACAATTAACAAAATGCAAAGAACAACAATAAAACAAAGAGTAAGGGAAAGAAAAAATCACAAGAGTGTTAACGTGGTTCAGTTAATATGGCCTACATCCATAGGAAAATGTAGTCATTCAACATCTTATTTGTCATTGGAGATTTCCAATGCATCCAGATTTTCTAGCCTCTGATTTCTCTTTGGGTTTTAGCTTGAAACCTTTACAATCTCCTAGTAAGAACTCAAACTCTCTCTATTATGAATAATAACTTCTCTCTCTCTCTCTCTCTCTCTCTATATATATATATATATATATATATATATATATATATATAAGTAATGATGATTAACTAAAGCTTATAATAATGGTGTCTAGGGTCATCGAATTTTCCTGTCATAATATGGTTATTAATTAGTGGTTATAATTAAATTGATCATAAGAACTTATAATAGATTTTGATTCACAATCACACAAAATTGTGGAAAAAAAATATGGAAAAAAATTTAATTCTTCTTGTAGTGAATTAGTAAAAGGCCTAAAAGGAATACAAGCAAAAGGGGGCAATCCCACTATGCTAATCTTAACATGTGCTTTCCTTGCAACACTCTTTGTTGGATCCAAGCTAAATCAAGGTTAAAATGATAAGCATACGCTTGTGCTCTATTTCAACATGCCTTGTACTAAAGTAATGAAGTTAGAGCACTTTTTGTCTAGAGAATGTAAATGAGCATGTCTCGTGCTAAAAGTAATATAGTTAAAGCACTATTGGTCTAGAGTGTGCTCAAGAGGAGCATATCTCGTGCTCAGGCTTTGTAACATCAAATACAAAGAGATTATAAAGATTTGAGGGAAAACTTATCTTTTTTCTTTTAGAACATCTAACTCCGTGGCCTTCCTACTTCTTCTGTGCAAAAACTTAACATCTCCATCACTCATAGCTATCTCTCCTCTACTTACAGTGATTGAACTCACGCTATGATTTTTTTATATTTTGTTTTCTTTGAACTCTTTAAATTTAGTTATTTTTATCTCTTTTCAACCATAAAACTTTCAACCTTTAGAATTACTTGACATTCAAAGAATGATAGCAGAAAGTGGTTACAAATATAATATGTGTGAGAACAATACTAGAAGGGTCTAAATGCTTTCTTTTATTACAATGGGTACACTTCCTCGTGTTGAAAACTTTTGATACAAAAACCTACCACAAGTTTTTGACATTATTGTTAGGAATTATATCCTTACATCATTTACAAAATTAGAATTTTGTGATTAAGTTGTATATATATTATGCTATCTTCTTGATTTATTTATTTATTTTTTTTTTGCTTGTCTCGTTTCATATTTAATTGTTTCACTGTATATTGATTTACTTTTCATTCATATTCTTTGTTTTGCAATTGGACCCAAATATCGAAAAGAAATAATGAGACAGTTGAAGAAGAAAACAAGAGAAAGAAGAATGACAACACTAAGTGATGGATGTGCCTTATTGAATTATTTGTGTCCAACTAATGAGATATTGTATAGTGTTATTCATTACATAGGTAAATAAAAGGCATTAGAAGAAGATGATGAATGATACATGTAGTAAAAGAAAAATACTAATGAGATTAGTATTTTCCATGAAAAGTGATTTATTTACAATATTTTTAAAAATTAGAGAATCAAAATGAATTAAAATTTAATTTTTAAATCTACATTATTTTTATGTGTAATTTTATCTTAATATTTTGTTAAAATATTTACTACAAATCATATTTTTAATATTTTATTTGATAAATTTAAAGTAAATAATTATGTTACTTGCCTAATAAATTTAAATTCAAAATAATGATTGAATAAATATAAAAATATATGAAATTTTAAAAATAATTGCATAATATTTCAATTAAGAAAATGATGAAGTTTTAAACTAAATTTTAATTTGTAGACCACAGACAAATTATGTTAGAAAACGACTAATGTAGCATTTATTGTGAATTATATCATTAATATTTTAATATTTATTATAAGGGATTCTGTGTTGGGCTGTGAGTCAAACTTGTCAGAAATCCTGAAAATTTACGGGGACGACGCAGGAGACTCACCGTTCCTTCAGTTGTACCAACCAAATATTTAGGTAAAAAAATTGTATAAGTATTTTATATAAATTTTTTAAACTTTTTAAAGAAATGTTATATTAACAAATAAAAATAAAAATTTAATTTAAATATATTGGCATCACTAATTGTTATATAAGTAAAAATTATTTTTGTTATAATAACTAATATAAAAGTCATGCAATTCCTTTTACTGACAATATACTAAAATTAAATTGAAAAACTATGTCATAAAAATTAAATTATAAAATACAAATTGTTTCTATGTTTAGATTTCAAGTCTTAATTTTAAATTTTAATATTTTCAAGAACCATCTTAAATAAAAATATTTTTAGGAGTTATTATTACTATTATATTGTCTTCTTTCATTGAGCATTTAAATTTTTAATTCAATCTATTTTTTTTAATATTTTCATTATTTTATTTTATTTTATATAATAAAACATTTATTATTAATAATTAAATTATTTTAAAATTTATAAAATTTAATGATTAATTTAAAATAGTTATATAATTTATATTTTTAAATTTTTATTTAACGTATTATTTTAATTTAATAATATTCAGATGATATATGAAAAAAATTTCTTTTAAAATTCACTTATTATTTGAAACTTCTAATGTAACTTATAAAATATTATAATTTTAGAAATTATAGAATTTAAAATGATCCAACTATTATAGAATAGTGCTGATTTTTTACAAATAAAAGAGTATTTATACAATTAAAATTATTAGAAGAGAAAAATTTTGTGGACTAATCACATTATCTTGTCTCTATTTGTAACTTTTAGTAAAAAAAAATTCATAATTAAAAGTTTTTTTTCTTCAAAAAATCTTCATAAAATAACAAAGTGCATAAACAAACTAAACATGAGATCCTTTTCAAGTAAATTTAAAATTATAATGAGTTAAATTAAAAAAAAATTGAGTTATTTATAAGTTTTTCTTGGAGTATAATTAATTGAAAGAACGATACTTGATTTTAAAGTAAGAGAAGTCATCAGATTCAAAATAAAATTTATATTTATGTCCCTAAAAAATATTAGAGTTGGATGTAAATTCTGTTTATGGGGTCAAATATTTTGTTTTTTGTTTTCAAGAGCAGAATTCAAATCTATTAACAAATTAAAAAATTTAGCTACAACGAGAATTCAAAATCATTGAGTTTATAAGGGTAAAAGAGACGATAGATTACAGAGAGAAATGCATCTTAATTATTTATAGAAAAAAGAAAAGAAAAGGAAAGGAAAAATAAAAAATAGGCGATTTTCACTATGAGCCACCCTTGCATGGTGTGGCCGCTAAGAACGCTCCCCCAGTAACCACAACAGAGAGGCCTTGGCGACTTGTTTATGCATCTCTTTCTCACCATTCACACTCCTCACACCCAAAACGCTCATGCATCCCTTTCTGGGCTCCAAAAACCACACCACCGAACCCGGTTCAGCTCTAAGCACTCACAAACCCGATTCATCCCAGCTTCACCACATGCCGCCCGTGTTCCGCTCCCTCTCCACGCGCACCCGCAACCGCTCCTCCTCCTCCTCCTCCCCCTCTGCCCCCACCCTTGCGGTGCAGCGATCCGCTTCCGCGCGGTACTCGCGCCAGAACACCACGCGCGAGGTCATTCTAAACGACATCGTTGGCAACGGAATTTCTGGCATTCTCTACAAGTGGGTCAACTACGGGCGCGGGTGGCGTCCACGCTGGTTCGTTCTCCACGATGGCGTTCTCTCTTATTACAAAATTCACGGTTCCGATAAGCTCGTTCTCAACAACGATGTTGAGACTGGTTCTAAGGTTATCGGCGAAGAGTCCCTTCGCCGCATCAACAGCCACCGCCATTGCCCCTCACGCTCTCGCAAACCCGCCAGCGAAATTCATCTCATGGTGTCTTCTCTCTCAATCAAATCTCATTATATTTTTAGATATAAAATCACTCACTGCCATATTTTTATGTTCAAGGATGTCACTTGTGTTGCTTTGGTCTAAAATTCATTACGTTCACTTATTTTATAAAAAATATAATATGATAAGATGTTTTATAAATTTTGATTTTATGCGTTAGAAATGTTGTTTAGTTAAAATTGAGATTTCATTTTATCTTGATGTGTTGTCTTCATCGCATAAACTTAATTTTAGAGAAATTTTCTAGATGGAATGTTAACTTTTAAGGAAATATATTATATATTGTATGTAAGTTTTGTTATGCTTTTGTTTAACGGTCTATATTTGAATCCTAGGTAGTATGCTCGGTAAACGTTATTTGACCAAAAAATTATCTTTTATTTTCTAAGTTTACATAAAATTGTACTTCAAGTATTTTAAAATTTTAATTTTAATTAAAACAATGTTGAAAACAACTAAGATAATGTTCTTAACATTTGAGAAACTATATTTATAAATTTGTATTTTTTGTATAAAAAAGGAGACAGAAAGAGAGAATAGTGAGAAAAATAATAATGCAGAAAAGTGTAATAATATAATTTATAAAAAAATTGAGATACTTGATTTGTAGCAGTAGCACGAGGCATGAGGCAGTAAATATAAGTTAGTGTTACTTGCAGGTGTGTTCGGTGAGAGAGAACAAATCAGATGAGAGAAGGTTTTCTGTATGTACGGGGACAAAGAAGAGGTTGCATTTGAGGGCGGAGAGTAGGGAAGATAGGGCAACATGGGTGGAAGCAATGATGGCAGTGAAGGATATCTATCCTCGGTTGCCCAATGCAGAGATTATGTCACCTGTTGTGTCAGTGGTGATTTCCACGGAGAAGTTAAGGCAGCGACTTTTACAAGAGGGTCTCAATGAGGTTGCTATTCACCAATGTGAGGACATCATGAAAGCAGAGATTTCACAGTTGCATAAGCATATTGTGGCTCTCAAGCAGAAGCAGTTGCTACTAACGGACACGCTGCGCCATTTAGAGGTACTTACTTCGTTACTTTTGTTATTTAACCAAAGGAAATCTGCATATATTCTATCTTCAAACACATCCAGGCAATACCCATTTTCATATTTCTAATTTATATGTGTAATGATATATATGTTCATTATATTTGCTTCATTCTATTGTATATATATCTTCTAGGCTGAGAAGGTTGACTTGGAGAACACTCTTGTTGAAGACCAAAGGCAATCAAAGGATATTGAAGCTAATCCCTATCTATCATCGCATGAAAAGTATAGTGGTACGTGGAAATTAATTATTGAAAAAATGTTTAATGTTATATCAAGCACGTGTTTGAAACCACGTCGTAGGAGTAAAAAAATACGAGTTCAACTGTAGGCTACAAATTTTAATTTTTGCCTCAACGTCATAACTGAAAGTATATCCAAACACCAGTTAAAATGAGACACCTTTAGGTTCCCTTTTTATATTTATAGTGTAGTTCTAGTTTTTTAGAATGCATCAGACTCGACTCTACCTAGGTCCAAGGGTATTTTATAGATGCATTCAATGAAATAAAACAGTAAATGCATGTTAGAGTAATTGGAATGGATCTAACTGAAGCTTTTTAACTAGCACGTTTTACTTACAACGCACGTTTGATGGAAGAGAGCTGATTATATTAATAGCGTGTTTGGATTTATATTTATTTGAATATTACTAGAGCTGATTATATTAATCGCGTGTTTGGATTTATATTTATTTGAATATTACTAGTTACAGATAAATATAAATGAATAATTATTATATACTTTCTAATTATATACGCTGGATTAAAAAAAATGTAATGTAAATGTGATGCCACAAGAAAAGCAAAATAGTGAAAAGAAAGAAAGATGAAAAACAAGTAAAAGTGCTGTACAAGTATGAAGTATGAACATGATTGCTATATTAATCAGCACTTGGATGCCTCGTGCCTTCCTTTTCCATGAATAATTTACGTTACCCTATAATAATATGCAGTGCTATGATTTAATTCCGCTTGGTTTTATGGTTTTGGATAGATAAATAGAAACATCATAGTTCCACGTATTGTTTTCTCGTGTATTGTCTAGCACACTAGCTAGCTACTTTTACATTTTTGCAGTAAATTTTAAACGTCTTGAATTATTTTTATCATTGTAACATATGACAGAGGGAAGTGGTAGTGATTCTTCTGATGAGCACCATCGGCATGATTCTGATGATGACGAGGATGCATTCTTTGATACATGTGAAATTCTTTCAACAAGTTCTGACCATCTGAGATCCATCCATGATTCTGAACAGTGTGAAGATAGTCCAAATGGGACATGTGATGTAAAATCAGCCATTGGATCTGTTGGATTTAACTATCCTCATATCAACCGACGAAATAAGTTACCTGATCCTGTTGAGAAGGAGAGTGGAGTGAGTTTATGGTCAATAATAAAAGACAATATCGGCAAGGATCTTACAAAAGTTTGTCTCCCAGTTTACTTTAATGAGCCCCTATCCTCATTGCAGAAATGTTTTGAAGATATAGAGTACTCTTACCTTCTAGACCAAGCATATGAATGGGGTAAAAGGGTTAGTTTAAATACATTTGTAAAATATTGTTATATAGTTACTGGCATAATTCACTAATGTTTTGGAGCTGTTTTGTAATACGTATCTCACATCCATGCTACTTATGTACAGGGTAACAGTCTAATGAGGATGCTACATGTGGCTGCATTTGCAGTTTCAGGGTATGCTAGCACCAGTGGTAGAAGTTGCAAACCATTTAATCCACTGTTGGGTGAAACATATGAGGCAGATTATCCGGATAAAGGCGTTCGCTTTATCTCTGAGAAGGTACAATTGTATATCAGTATACTACTGTCATTCAGTTGATGAAAAATGCCACATGTACACCTCCATTTATAAAGAACATCTTATACTGAAAGGGAACTCGTGGCATGGGTGATTTTTTTAGGAATCCTATTGTTTAAAGTTAATATTGTCAGTGGACTTTGAATTATAAAATATTTTGAATATGAAGTACATAATCTAAGTACATTATTTGTTCAGAGATGACAATTGTACGATATATACAAACATTATTTATAACAAATAAGGTCTTTATCCATCAAATTTTCATAGTTAATACAGTCTTATTTTAGTAATATGTCAACAATATATATAGTATTTACTAAAATATAGATAATGAATTTAAATTAATTTTATAAGAAATCATCAAATATTAATATAATCATTACACACATGTGAATTTTAATGAGTATTCTTCTTTTTTTAAAATAGAAGCAAAAATAATTTAATTTAATTCCATTCCAAATCCCTGTCCATTATTTCAATTCTCCTTTTATCTTTTGTCTCTCTCAAAAAGCATTTATGTTATTAACATAAATAAAGTTGTCCTAAAATGTCACCCTCCTCGGGTCACAAATTACAACCATCTACTCCTCTATCTCCTACCTTTTCCCTCACATTAATGACTCACTTGCCTTTGTTTTTTGCTCAAAAATCGTTTCTCTTCTAACATTTGTGAGGTTGCTATTTGCATTTATATAATTCTCCTTTATGATAATAGGCCATAGATAACAATTTGGCATTATTTTTCATTGTGCAAAGTGTTAGTGGTTCGAAGTAAAATAGTTACGCTATTCATCTTGAGATAGGTCAGTCATCACCCAATGGTTGTTGCATGCCATTGTGATGGCCCCGGCTGGAAATTTTGGGGTGAGAGCACTTTAAAAAGTAAATTTTGGGGTCGTTCAATTCAGCTTGATCCTGTTGGTATATTGACTTTGGAATTTGATGATGGAGAAGTCTTTCATTGGAGCAAGGTATAGTAGTGCTTGATGTTAGTTGTACTAGTCAATATCTTCCAAGATGCATGCTTATTAACTAATTAGTATTATATCATCAGGTAACCACGTCCATTTACAACCTCATTTTAGGAAAACTCTACTGCGACCATTATGGTACAATGCGGGTAGAGGGGAACCGTGAGTATTCATGTAAGATCAAATTCAAGGAGCAGTCAATCATTGATAGGAACCCTCACCAGGTGCCCTTTCTCATATCTTATATTATTACATAATTCTTCTGCTTCATATTTGGTATTGCTTTAGTAGTTTTAATTTTTCTCAAATTATTTATTATTTTAGAATATTGAAAAAGTAGCTATTATTATTTTTTGAATGATACCCTTATCTATTAAGGATACTTTTTGTCAACTAATAACTAAAATAACTTTAAAATTATTTATCATTTAACTAGTACTTAGTGATAATTAATATAATAATAGAGAGCACTATTTTGGGTTCCTTTTAGATAATATATAGAGCAAAACGTGTTACATTTTTTCGTTGTTACGAGTGCAACTTGGGGCATTTTGACCATAATTTTATTTTAAGTTAGAAAGTTATATCATGTTTGTTTGGTTCATATTGAACCAATTTATTCATTTGTGATATGGTTTTTTTGGTTCTCTTTCCCTTTTCTCTTGTTGCATGTTCTGGTTCCGGCTTTCCCCCAGTTGTTTGACTACGAGGAACCTTTGGAGTTTGACGAAGAGTGTCATACTTGAGGATTTTACGGGAAGGATTTTACAATTAAACATATTCTAAGATCAATTTTAAAAAAAGAATCAATGGTTAAAAATGAAAAGTGCATACTTTATGAGACACAGTGATTCATGGGAGATTTTTTTTCAAAATTCCAACACAATCCATTCTATGTCCTAACCAATTAGACCCTTAATTAATGCACTGAAAAGCTATGCCGCTGGAAGAAATTTTCACTAGTGAAAAGGAAAATGTTTATTCGGATGACAATCCCTAAAAAGTACAATAAGAAAAAAAATGTACATGATTTTTTACTTTATTCTTGGGTATTTATTTAGTTGTTTATTTATAACACGTTATGCAAAAATTTTGTATGTACACTCCATTCAATGTCTGTTGCCTATGATAATTGCATTGGAGTTGCATAGTAATTTTAATTTCAATTGACTTACATCAATGCCACTATTCGGTTTTTATTCCCTCACATGAAGCCTATGTTGCAGTTTCTTCAGCATTTCTTCGATGCGGTTGAATCAAATGAATTCATGTCACTTTTAGTTTTATTTTGATAATGTACGCCGACTCATGATTTTTATAGTCCATAGAGATATAAGGTTACAATATGAGTTGCATGATTTATTTTAGTTTGAGTGAGTTCATAAATAAGTTCTTATAAGAAAAAATGAATAAATTTTTTTTATAAATTTAAAAAAGTTTATTTCTTTTTATACTATTTTTCTTCTTTTACAAGAACTTGGTAAGTTAACCGATTCATGTTATGGAATTTATATTCTCAGTAATTTAAGTTCTGCTGCAGGTTCAAGGCGTGGTGGAAGATAAGAAAGGTAGAACAGCGGCAACTCTATTTGGGAAGTGGGATGAGAGCTTGCATTACGTAATTGGAGGGAATTCAGGGAAAGGAAAAGGGTCTAATGTGTCATCAAAACCACATCTTCTGTGGAAGCGGAACCCAGCACCTGAGCACCAGACAAGATATAACCTTACACAGTTTGCTATTACACTAAATGAACTCACACCTGGACTACAGGTAACCACTGTGAGAATATTGATCCAAATGGGTGTTTCTTTTCACAAAATCCTGTGCAGTATGAACTAAGTGAATGGTTAGACACACTTGAATTTGGATAAATTAATAATTGTGTAATTTTTATAAGTTCTCTCTAGAAATCAGTAAAAAAACAAGTGATTATTTTTTTAAAATAAACTAAATTAAATACCCACTATTAGACAACAATTTAATTAAGGCTTATTCAATAACCTCTTATTATATGAAGGGGTTTATAGATCATAAAATTTATTGATATAAGTTGAAAATAACTTATTATAATAAACTATATAAAAAATTATTAAAATAAGTTAAAAAGAGCTTATACAAACAATATATTATTTTTATAAGCTCTTTGAAATGATCATAAATCCTAGGCGATTAGTATTGACATTTTGGGTTAACAAACAGGAGAAGTTGCCACCAACAGATTCAAGGCTAAGACCTGATCAAAGGTGTTTGGAGAATGGAGAGTATGAAATGGCCAATTCTGAGAAGTTGAGGCTGGAACAAAGACAGCGGCAGGTACAACTGTTGAATCTGAAATTTCATTGGATCCAGTCTTGTAATTGAAAAAATAAAGAAAAAGCATTATGCTGGTTAATGTGCTCTTGTTCATTGAGTAATTAACAAAAGACTCACCATAATTAATTGCCAGGCACGGAAGATGCAAGAGAAGGGATGGAAACCAAAGTGGTTTTCTAAGGAAAAAGGCAGCAACAGTTACCGTTATGTTGGTGGGTACTGGGAAACTAGGGAAAATGGGAACTGGGAGTCTTGTCCTGACATTTTTGGCCAACCCTCCTCAACTGATACTGATTTTACCTCAACTCCATAAATTTACAACTCTTTTACCTAAGATCCCTACCTACTCCCCCCACTATCACATCCCCTTGATCATATATATATATATATATTCCTAACCATATTAATGATCGTTACTTATTTTAGCATTCAACAGACATGGTTGATTAATGCCCATTTGTGTATAGATAAGTATAGAATACAGTGGTTGCTCTCAACAAAGTAACTTCCCATTTCCAACTGGCAACAGCAACTTTTCCCTCTTTGGGTTTTGGATGGGATTGAGCTTTGTATGAAAGTCATAGTTGGTATACTAATCATTTAAATTTTACATTATACTACGAGGAAAAGGAGGAAAACTTGTTAAATGAGCATGCACCTTTTTTATGCTTACTCTGATGACCCATTGAACATGTTTAACTGTTTACACACGTTATTCCGATTTGGTGCAACAAGCTTGGCAATGCTTTCTTTATGTCAACTTAAATTTAGCAAATGAGTCCAGCATAAAAAACAGGAAAATAATGCGCATGAGAAAACTCAATTGACTGGAATCTTGTTTGTATGTAACATTTTTATTTCGTGGATACGTGGGTTAGTTGTAGAGCTATTCTTGACGAGCATTAAGTAACTAGGGAGAAGAGTGGTCTTTATATAGCAGCTGCCAAAAGATTAAGCCCGTGATCCTCGAGTTTGTCGTAGATCAGAGGATGCGTTAAGGAAACAAAATTGAATTTTACAAAGTTGTGCTGTGAGGACAAATAACGAGTTAACAACTGGGACAACAAAGCTACCACTAGTCTCCGTCTATTCACCTGATTTCTCACTCAACAACGTGCTATCAAGTCTAGTCCAATCTGTTCATATTGAAATATATATACACTTGAAAAGCAAAATACTTCTTAAAAATAATATATTCTTTGAAAAATTTACTTTTTTGAAAAATTTACTTGCAATAAATTATTGCCAGTTGAGTGTAACAAAAGGATTAATTCCTGCAAAGTGACAAAATCACATTTTAAATTTCTATCGACAGAGTTGTTTTTATTTAATGTCTGGCCATGTTTTAAACAGATTTGGAGGATACCTGTGGCTTCTAGGAAAAAAGAAAAAACTTTCCAAGAAGGGTAGATCCAGAAAAAATTATGGAAAGATTCTCGGGAAGCTCTTCAGATGGCACTTTTATTATTTAGAACATTTTTTTTCTCCTGATAACCATACAATAATTGAGATATATGTTAACCTATAAATTTAAATTATAATTCCAAGTTTGATATAATATTCACTTACTTCTAAAAAATTCATGTCTATAACAATAATTGATTTAATTTTCACTAGGTATTGTCATCCACCTAAAAGATACCCCTGCAACACACCTAGTGCTCTCAAAGGAAATTTGCATGAGTCACCATACAAAATGATCGTGTGAACAAATTTCTATTTATTTTTAGTCCTGTAATTTTTTTTACCTTCATTTGAAAAAAAAAATAACTACTCTTGTATTTTATGGCAAATTAAAAGTTTGAGGACAGCAGAAACTACACCATGAGAGAGCAATATTTGGATTATTGGAAAGAGATTTACTTGTTATGAGTTCAATGTGCTACAAAAAGTGACATTTTAAATATAATTTTATTTGAATCTTAAAAGCAATTGTTTATAAATTAAAAAAAATATTATTTCTGTAAGCATTTACTGGATATAAAGTGAAGTGGAAACATGTTATGCACTTTTATATCAACGGTCTGTCCCCTCTTACGATCAAAATTGATTAAGAAAAGGAAAAAGGTGCATGGTTGATAGTATTTTATGTTGTGGGGGTTACAAAATAAAATGGCTATGCATTGATCTTGCTTGGTTGATAATTTGATTTCTTGAGTTTGAGGCCACATCGTGGCCCAGAAATCATTGCCACAAAATATGGACGCATGAGATATGTTTTATTTTAAATTTTTTAGGCCGACAATTATCACATATCAAAGTGACAAATGAAACCAACGTCATGTAACACACCACTTTTTCTTTTTCTTCTTTTTCCAATAACACGTTGCTTCAACTGCATTTTATAATGGATTCAAATAATCAATATCTATACTAATTACATGCATTGCTCCTAAGGATTTATAATTAATTACCAAAAAAAAGTGGGAAACACTGTTTTTGTGTCAATGGCTATTTTTATGCTTTCTAAAAATGTACAATTTTGTGTCAACTAAAAGTGTACATTAATCGAAGGCCATTTGCCTCTTGCAGATTGCAGGAGTTCAGAAATAGCAGGTCAACTGAAGTGCGATTTATTGTTTTGACAATTCATTTAAAATTTGGGTCAAACTCTAGCATTGAGCATGAATTATGTGTAATTTAATTACTAGTTAGCTCTTTTCATGAAATTTCATGTCGAAACAAGCAATTGACCATAACAATTTTGTGGCAAATAAATACCCTAATAAAAAAAAGCTAGTAATTAACACGAAAGCATATTTATCAAATGCTTTTATGAACAGTTAGTTTTTATATTCCGATTTGAATGCACAAGTTATGAAACGTACATCATATTTCGCGTGACGCCTCACACTTGACATTTCATTGAGTAAAATATTTTAAAAGGCAGTGATAGTAGTTGTTGCACATAGGGATCGTATTGCTTCGTATATTTCCTAGTATCGCTTTCCCTGGCCTCGCTAAACTCGCGCTTCTCTAAATTTGATTTCATTAAGAAGCCACGTAATTTTTAGATTGCTCGTATATTAAGAGGTTTAGTAATTTATTTTAAAAAAATATAATCATTGATTTAAAAAGATACAATACGTCTTAAATTTCAAATTTATAAAAATTGTAACAAAAATAAAATCAAACCAACGATGTAAGGCTAAAGTTGAAACTCAATTTGGGCACCATCCCATCACGTCATCACCATTTTATAAACATAACACGGCAAGAGTGGGTGGGATTAAACGTGATGCCAACTATCTTTTCCCTATGCTTCTTTCTAATTGAACAATTAATAATAATAATACTACATTAACAACGAGTTTGACAATGTATCTCAAATTGGACCGGTTTGGCTTTGGGGCTTTGACTTGCATGGCAGCTAAGAAAATATAAGGTGTACCTAGAAAAGGAAGGAAAAGAAAAAAGAAAAATAAAACGATAGCAACGGTAGGTAAATAAAGAGCATAACATTAATATTATTAACATGACATTCTGCATTCATTCACATAGATCCCAATGAATAGATTAATAACATTAAACGGAGACCAAATTCACGTGGAAGTGGAAAACCAAAACGCGAACAAAAAGAAAGAATGGCACATGTCGGGTAGGGAAATTAAAAGTGAAGAACAAGAATAAGGTGGTGTGCTCTTCCTCTTTCGCGCGCTTCCATTTGTAATCGTTAACAACTCTCTCTCTCTCTGATTATTTCTCTTTTCCCAAAGCATTGTTTGTTACATTCTTTCTCTCTCTCTCTCTAATCTCTCGCTCTACATTATTCCCGTTACAGATTTTCAATTTCAACTTTTAAAATGTCGCCGCCGATATTGATACGGTGAAATTCTCGTTCGCGAAAATGCACGAGACGGTCACTCTCTCGGAGCCACAGCAACAACAGCTTCACGCGAAGAAGAAGAAATCAGAACAACAACAAGAAGAAGAGAACGACATCGAGCTTGTAGTGGTGCCGCCGCCGCCGTGCCGGCGGCAGCCTCGTACGAGGCGCGTGTCTCCAGGCGCGGTGGAGAAATCGCTTCCGAACGGCGACATCTACAGCGGAAGCCTATCGGGAAATGTGCCTCACGGCGCCGGAAAATACCTCTGGTCGGACGGATGCATGTATGAAGGAGAGTGGAAGAAGGGAAAAGCGTGCGGCAAAGGAAGGTTCTCGTGGCCTTCGGGTGCGACCTACGAGGGGGAATTCGTGTGTGGTAAGATGCACGGTGAAGGCACCTTCGTTGGCGTGGACGGCGACACGTACCGAGGCGCGTGGGTTTCGGATAGAAAGCATGGGTTCGGGGAGAAATGTTATGCTAATGGTGATGTGTATGAGGGATGGTGGAGGTGCAACTTGCAGGAAGGTGAGGGGAGGTATGTGTGGAAGAATGGGAATGAGTATGTAGGGGAGTGGAAGAGTGGTGCTATTTGTGGGAAAGGAGTGCTGGTGTGGAAGAACGGGAACCGTTACGAAGGGTTTTGGGAGAACGGGGTTCCGAAGGGGAAGGGGGTGTTTACGTGGCACGATGGGAACTCGTGGTCGGGGAATTGGGGGTATGAGAATGAGAATGATGAGAGGGATGTGAAGAAGAGGGTGTCAATGGATGGGTGTAAGAGTGTGAGTTTTCCAAGGATTTGTATTTGGGAACTTGATGGAGAAGCTGGGGATATTACTTGCGATATTGTTGATAATATTGAGGCTTCTATGTTTTATAGGGAGGGTAGTGTGTTGGAGAGTGGTGGTGTTGGGGGGGATGGGGATGCTGGTTTTGTGAAGTTGCAGAGGAGTCCTTGTCGTTCTGTTGATGGGGATGTAAAGAAACCGGGTCATGCTGTTTCTAAGGGGCATAAGAACTATGATTTGATGCTTAATCTTCAACTGGGTATTAGGTATTTTTATCTGCATTGTTAGTAGTTTTGGTTTTTAGATTACATTGTAGATTGTTTTGAGGAATTGCTTTTGTTTAGGTACTCTGTTGGGAAGCATGCTTGGGTGTCGCGAGGGCTTAGGCCTGGGGATTTTGATCCCAAGGAGAAGTTTTGGACCAGATTCCCACCCGAAGGGTCCAAGTTTACGCCTCCGCATCAGTCTGTGGACTTCAGGTGGAAAGATTACTGTCCCATGGTGTTCAGGTGGAAATTCATTTTTTCTATTTTTGTTGAGTTTATTGATTCCTAAGCAAAGTAGAAGCTTGATTGTGTATACTAATTATGTCTGTGTCTTGGTGGGTATTTTATTGTTTGTTGGGTACTTAGACATCTAAGGGAATTATTTGCCATAGATCCTGCGGATTACATGCTTGCTATTTGCGGCGATGACACACTTAGAGAGATGTCTTCTCCTGGTAAAAGTGGAAGCTTCTTTTACCTCACTCAAGATGACCGGTTCATTATCAAAACCTTGAAGAAGTCTGAAGTCAAGGTTAGTTGCTAGCCTCTACTAGTCTCTGAGATGCATTAAATTTGATGAGAAAACTGTGAACCTATATTTAGAAAGGTAAAATCTCACTTTCAGCTTTTAGCCATCGTGCTTTTTTCTGTGGGTATTCTATAGTATAATTAGATGGTGGCCTTGTCAGTTGCTCATCAGGATGCTTCCAAGTTACTACCAACATGTTTCTCAGTACAAGAATTCCCTGGTAACAAAATTCCTGGGCGTTCATTGTGTCAAACCTATTGGAGGTCAGAAGGTATGAAATTTCTAATATAAATTTTGCAGTCAACTGACAGATAAACTTATGAATGCTTGTAATGATGAGATGAACACTTGTAATGCTATGAAAAACAGACACGGTTTATTGTAATGGGCAATGTATTTTGTTCGGAGTATCGGATTCATAAGCGGTTTGACCTCAAGGGTTCTTCTCATGGTCGTACAACTGATAAACCCCAGGAGGAGATTGATGAAACTACCACGCTTAAAGACCTCGATCTTTGTTTTGTCTTTCGCCTGGAACAGTCTTGGTTTCAAGAGCTTAAATGGTACAGAATCTGCTGCCGACTTCCAAGTTTAATATGGCTTTTACTTTCAGCACATTTTATGATGTTCTAAGAGTTGCACTTTTGTAATGACTTCTGCACAGGCAACTTGATAGAGACTGTGAATTCCTAGAAGCAGAGGGAATAATGGATTATAGTTTTCTGATTGGCCTTCATTTTCGTGATGATTACTCAGTTGACAAAACAAAAAGTTCATCAAAGTTGTGTTTAGGTAATGTGTATTCTTATTTTCTCCTATTTTAATGTTTCTTTTCATTTGAATTGATTGGATCCAGAAGAGATAAAAAGAATATCTGGGATTATGGATTGGCAGGCAATACAGATATGCCAAATGACGACATGCAGGATACAAAGTGGATACCCATAGGCCGGTATGCCCTTTTCTCTTTACCCCCGGTATCTTACTGTCCTCTTTGTTTCAACATGATGAATAAATTGCTATGAAGTAATGGAAATTGACTGTTAAAGATTGTCCTCCGTGAATTTTTCATTTATATTCCTGAGAAAGGACAATGTTCAGGGATTTAGAAGTCTTTTATAGGAAAAAAAATTAATATAAAAAAATAAGGAAAATGACCCAATTTATAGATAAGTCTCTATAAGAGGGGAAAAATCAATATAAAAAATGAATAAAATTTCTCTCATAAATTAAAAGTAACTTATGTTTCTCTATATTTTGAGAAAGTCTCTCATTCCACTTCTTTAAAATTCGAAAAGATAATTTGTTTCTAATTTTTGAGAAAAGTTGATGTAATTTGGGTAAACTTCTAGAAAAGTCTTTATAGGAAAAAAAAATCAATATAAAAAATGAATAAAATTTCTCTCATAAGTCATAAATAATTTATCTTCTCAAATTTTAGAAAAGTTAAATAAGAGACTTTCTAAAAAAGTAGATAAGCATAAGTTGTTTCTAACTTACGATATTTATTTTTTATTTTGATTTTTTTTCCTGTTAGGCCTTTTCATTAAGTTTATCCAAACTGAGGCTTAAGCTTTTATATGAATTCTAAACCATCATTTCTTGAAAAAAATAATCAAGGGAATTCGGATCATGTAAAGATGGACCATTCATAGTTGCTACATTTTATGACCAGATGATTTATTGGGGATATAGCCTTTTCGGTCTCTGTCACTTACACGCATTGGTAACCATAGCTTTCACTTCTTTGCATGTGCCATGCTCTTGATCTTTAGTCTGTCTGGACTCAATCATAAAACAAACAGAAGCGTCTTAAAATGTCAATATGGTCCATACGCATGCAAATAGCTAAAAGTATATGGCCACGAGTCATGTAAAACCAAAGCAATGACAAATAAGTGAGCATCATATTTGTCATTCTCCAATCCTCTCCATCTGTGATTCAGGAGTGGTCGACTTATTAGTTTTCTCCTATTTGGAATATGATTCTGTTGATTGCGATGAACCACAATTGACTTGAGTTATCATGGCAAAACTGGAGGCAGTTTTATTGAGAACAAATACTGATGTGGTCAATTTGATCTTTCTGAGAAGGGCAAAACCTTCTTTACAAAGCTAATTGTTAGTTGACTGTGAAATTGATGGAGTAGTGGTGGTTGGTAGGACTAAATTGAAGCTTAGAAGATGTATATGTTTGTGGGATTTAGCTCCTCTAAAGTGAGAAAATGTATTAAGTGTTTTATAAAAATAATTAACCTTAAATCAGTGGTAGATATGTCTACACTTTCTCACTTTACATATCTACTCACTTTAGATGAGCCAAATCCATGTTTTTGTACTAGTAACATACAAATCTTGTAATTGTTAATAAACATACATGAGTTCTTTTCCCCCTAGTTTCTAGAATATAGTTACAAAGTTTGTTATTTGCAGATCTAATCTAGTCAACCCAGGAAACTAAATATGAAACTACTTTATTAACATAATTAACATAGAAATGTGGATCTTGTGGCTCTCTTCCTGATGGGCTAATTTACATCTTGATCGTGCAGATATTTGTTTTGAATTTAATTTAATTTACCCATAAATTATGGTGATTCTTGATTTTCTAGGGGACCTTTAATTCGTCTGGGAACAAACATGCCTGCCAGAGCTGAGAGTGTGTGTAAAGCTGGATTGGATCAGCACACGGGTACTGGAAGTAGCAATTCTATCCATTCAGAGAGTGGTGGTGAGGTCTCTGATGTAATCCTCTACTTTGGTATCATTGACATTCTCCAAGATTATGATATTAGCAAAAAGCTTGAGCATGCATACAAGTCACTACAAGTGGATCCCTCCTCCATCTCAGCCGTTGATCCCAAGCTATACTCCAAAAGGTTTAGGGATTTCATACACCGAATCTTTGTGGAGGACAAATGATATGCTTGGGGAGACAATTGAAATTGAAACGGGACCAACTTTTGTTTGGTGCGACACCTTGGCATCAGGATATATTAGTGAATGCTGCAAATGTTGGTGATTTGAAGTTTATACAGAGATATTGGTATTAAAATTAAATCCGAGTTTTGGAAGGGAGGCCTTGCTAGTTGATGGCTAAATTTTTCTCATAGCCATTGCAAATGAAATGGTGGAAATGGATGGCGGTGGAGAGGAGGGACTTGTAGATGGACATGACACGGACGCTTTTTTGGCTCTTTAATTGAAGGGAGAGATTGTCACAGTAGGTGTACATGTAATGCATCATAGGCATGTGATGAGATATTCTTTTTTTATCACTTTTGTTATGGTTGTGGTTGTGGAGAAGGGTATAGGGAATAGCAAAATGCAAATGCATATGGAGGGATTCAAATTTGACCGGGTGGGGGTGAATAACTGTACAGACAGTCAAAGTGGATAATGGAATTGAATTGAATGAACATACATTTTTGGTTGGCGAGATAAAAGAAGATATGGTTTGCCTGTTGAGCAAGAAAGAAAAGTTCTCACAGAGGACCCCTCAGTCTCAGTCTCTCTCTCTCTCTGGTATGCATTCAAATGGGTGTTTTCACTTTTGCAGCGAGTAAAGCATAAAAAGAAGAGAAAAGCACAAGAAAGAAAGAGTTGGGTGTTTCCTTGGTTCATGTTCTTTCTTTGACACTCTATAAACCAAGTTTGAAAAAGCACAATGACAATAATACAAGGGCGTGTCCTTTTTGCTTCTTTTGAACAATACCAAGAAGCAAACAATGCGACAAAGCAATAAATTTGGTCACGCAATGTGAACCAGTTTGGTATATGAGAATGATAGCTATCCATGCATGTTGTGCCGCGGTATTTTAATAATAAGAAATAAAATATAATGAAACTTGACATAGAAGAGAAGCAAGCCTATTCACTCTAATTCTCCTAGACTAGACTTAGGTAAAAATGAAAAGAGGACAAAAATAGTAGGCTGTTTAAAGTATTGGACTGTTGAGCGATCCTGCGCTGTTTTGCCTGCTTTGATCCTGAATCTGGCAGGTCTTGTTTTATACTTGGAGTGAGTGATGGTACCCTTTGGATCGAATAAAATAAACTATATTTCTTCCTTGTCCCAGTAAAAAACAATTTAACTTCATTTCTTCCGTAAACTAATTTGCCAGGGACCAGTTAGTTTTTTCATGGACTGGAACTTCTTTTCTTCTGTTAAACAGGATTTGTTTTCCAGTGATTACATAAATATTTGTCAAGGAAAATGCTTCTTTTTTGCTATTTTATCTCTCCATTTCCATGCAAGAACAGTATTTTGAAAAGGATTTGAATCTTCATCTGTTCTTAAGAAATAAGATGTTGAGTAATATTATTCTCATCTAACGTTTTTATCACATTTTTTACAATAGAGAAAGTTCAAAGAAGGAATGTAAACGTGAGATAAACGAATGATGCGATGAAGAGAAATTAAAAAAAATGTATTGTGAGAAATTAAGGTACTGTATTGAAGGAAAAATATATAATTTTAATCATTTATAATTGTTAAATCCTAAAATTTAATTATAATGAGTTTTTGTTTGATAAAAAAAAATATATCTTTTTCCAACGTAATCTTATCGTGCTACTCAATAATAGTGAAAGATTCTAATAATCAAATTCATTCTAAAAGTAGATAATTTACCACTCTCAATTATCTCTCTCTATCACATTATTTTTTTTTATTCTGTTTTATTCTTTTAAATAGAAGTGGATGTTTCAAAGCTATTCGAACACCTTGAAGTTAGGGTCGTGTTTCAATTTTTGCATGATTTGTTATTAAATGATGACGACTTTGCATTTTTCAAACTATTTTCAGCCTAAACATTTTTATAAACTTTTATATATATATATATATATATTTAACAGTGAAATTTTAATCAAGAAAATTGAGCAATTCTTCTACAATATGAGGTTGAGGTTGATAATTTTTTTTTGAGAAAAATGCATTCCCAAAAAATCTATTTAGGATTGAGCTAATTGTATCTTCTTCTCAGACAGCTTCGAGATATCTAATTCCAATCTAGCAATCTGCTTTTGAGATTCCTTATAATACTTTCTAAATTTATCAGAAAGGTATTGGAATCTTTCATCATTCTTATGGATGGATTCAACAATCTGGTCTATTTTTTCTGCTTTTCTCATAATTAGTAGTGAAGCTAATTATCACATACAATTGATACAATAATGGACTCTCAGGATTCATACGAATCTGTAATAGATCAAGAAGGATGAAGAACTGATAATGACCCAAATTTGTCTCCAAGCCATGAGCCTATATGCAAGGACTGAAGAATCTCTGAAAAAGTAACTTTGTGTAATAAAACATCTTTATGTATTATGTTTTTAGTGTGACTCATATGTACTAAAAGTCTTCATCTTTATTTGCTTGCTTAAAGGTCTCTTGTAATAATTATGTTTTCTTTCTATTCTCTATATATTGAGGAACTCCTGCCCTTTAGAGGCAGATTGGACTAAAATAAAACTTGTGTTTTTATAAATCATGAGTTCTTTCTAAACTTCTTTCTGAAAGTTTTGTTTACGATAACTATCCTCTAATCCCTGACTAGAAGTAAGTATACTCTACACTTGCCTTGTTATAAGGATTCTGTGTATTAGAAAACTTTTAGACAATGATCTAGTTGTTACGGTCTTTCTTATAATAGCTTTGATAGATTGAATTGGCATGAGTATAAGAAAAATGCATATGAGTTTGCTTAAAGTATTAGAAAGTGTCATAGAATATTATCTCTGTTATTATATTGCACAATAATCATGAACAGATGCACTAGTGAGCAGTGACAGAGAGATACAACACTATCGGTGGATCTGATTAGTTTGAAAGATGTCAAATGAATAAGAGAAATGAAATAAAATCTAGTGTACATGATTGAAATATAGAATTGGTAAACATGGAAATTCCTTCCTTGTGAGGGTGAAAAATAAAGAAACATGTAAAATGGACAAGGGAAATGAAACAAAATCTATAATACATTATCGACATATTGAATTGGTAAATATGCAAATTTCCTACTTATGGAGTGAAAAAAAAATAAAAGAAACAAAAATATACAGTGGAAGTAAATGGTGGACGAGAGATGGGAACAAGACTGTACAGGGAAAGGAAGAGACGAAACAGCAGCAACAACTAGAAGCAATTGACAACACAAAGGAGTAACTTGGGACTCGGTAGGCACACATACCCTCACATGGATGCTCCTAAGACACAATACAAGCGTGAGATGGTTGTATTTTTCTAACGTAAGGTAACATTTGTGAATGTTACACTATTTTGTGAGGTTTATTTTTATAAAAGTGATAGTAGTAGACATGGGAAGAGATGTAGACCAACTAGCCAATCAAATGAATCCAAACAAATACAAAAAAATTGAGTTAATTTAGGTTGTTCAATTAATTTAATTTAGATATAAAGAACCAATCCTAGACAGTTGAGTTTTTAGCATCATACTTAATTTTTCCTCCTTGGATGACAGTCTCTTAGTACTACTGCCCCTATTCTAAATAAAATATACTCTCTTTTTCTAGGACAGTAGATTTGAAAACTTTTTAAGTCTTTTTTTAAATGTTATTTTGGATTGAAAATCTCAAACTTTTTATTTTTTTGAAATTTATGGAAAAAAAATGTAAACACTTAAACTAACCTAAGTTAATTTAAATAGGGTTGGTTTGACCCGAGTTGATAATCTAAAACCAACTTTAGTGAATATAGATCATTTATGCATATCATTTCAAATTTTAATGTCTCCAACCATTAAATTTTACGGTTATCTCTCTCTTGTTGCTTATTATTTATTATTTAAGTGCTTATTCTATAATTTGTTTTATCTGAGTTGATAGAAACATGTTTAACTACTCATTGGTCTTTAATTTAACTCGTATCAAGCTCAAACTTCGAACAATGGTTAGAGAGACCCACACACTTTTTAAGACCACACAGACGTAATGACCAGGCTTGGCCCATACACGTTGAATGGGCCCATATTGATAGGCCTGTTTAAAGCGGGCTAGCCCAATCCTATATGAATTAAGTGGGTCCCCTCGCGCGCTCATTCACAAAAATGAGTCGAAGCTCGTGTTCCGTTCGGAACGGTGTAAAAGAGTAGAGTCACAATTTCAATGGCCGCAGAAATTTGTGGCGGGTCTCTATTCTTATCCGTTAAAACACACTTGCAACTGCAACACCATCACCGCCACCGCCACCACCACCATCACGTGTTCTTCCATGCTCAACGAACCAGAACACGAAGAACCACTACCAGATTCCACTTCCGTTCTCGTTTTCCTAATTGCTCCACCGCGTTTCGCCGCAGCGTCACGTGCCAGGTTGCTACCACTGACTTCGAATCCGCCGCCAAAGCTGGCGAGGATCGTCTCTCTAAGGTATAATAGCCATTAACTACTCTTTCATTGTTTTTCCTAAATTGCTCTTGTTCTTAGCGATTTAACATCACAAGCTGGTTTGGTTTGGTTCGGCTTGGGTTTTTAGGTGCCGGTGCGTAATATAAGGAACTTCTCCATCATTGCGCATATTGACCATGGGAAATCCACGTTGGCGGATAAATTGCTTCAGGTGACTGGCACGGTACACCAGCGAGAGATGAAGGACCAGTTTCTCGATAACATGGATTTGGAGAGAGAAAGAGGCATTACTATTAAGCTCCAGGTTCGCCTTTTTTCCTAATTCCTTATTGTCTTAATCATGTGAGAAATTAGAAAATATGATATTTCGAAATTGAAAATATTTGAGAAAGCATTTGATTAATTTTGATCATGGCAGGCAGCTCGAATGCGTTATGTGTTTGAAAATCAACCATATTGCTTGAATCTAATAGACACTCCGGGACATGTCGACTTTTCGTATGAGGTATGTCAATGTAGTGTCCGTCTCATTTAATGTTTTAAGTAAAATTGATTTTAAGCCGTTGAATGTAATTAAGACAAGTGTATAAATTAATCTGAACCCCACATTTTTATTGCAACGTGTGTTTTTCATTGAAAGATGCGATGATTGATTTTGTAACTTTAAATAACTTTAAAACAACAAGCCTGTAGTAATACATGCATACGAAGTGCTGTGTGCTTTATCTAATGTTATTGTAGCAGTCTTGTCTTTTTTTA